GCCACGGCGTCGAGATTCGAGCTCGATCAAGCTAGAGAACAGCTCACAGCTTGAAAGTGCGATGGTGCCTTGACTGGCTTGGAGGCGTTGGCTTTGGCTGCCTTCGTGGCAGATCCAGAACCTGCTAGAGAACTCTTTGCATCCAAGACTGGTGTCGACCTGGCGGGCAACGAGGACGAGGAGGCGAGGGTCAGCACGACAAGCTGTACCGCTGTGAACGCCATGAATAGCCATTGGATGACACCCCAGAAGATGCCTTGGAAAGACCATGCTCGTGTTGAGGATTCCAGCTCGATGATGGGCGCGTCTGGCGACAGTGCCTCGGCCACACCCTCTTCTAGAGTTGTCGTTTCCGGCTCTCGCTTGCCCAATACCCTGACGAGGATGATCATGATCTCCCATAACATCCAAGGCTGCGCAAGTTTGTTGATAAGGACATTGCCGATGATGAGCTCCGACAAGATCTGGCCAACGAGGGCCGTCAGACAATCGTTTTCGAGATCCTCTGTCGGCAGCAGTATGGCCAAGACGCCCTGCACCAAGAGCTGCCGGTACATTGTCTCATTCTCTTGCTGCTTTGCAGCGGACTCGGGGGCTTCGGGCTTCGGAACGGGTGACAGAGGCACCAGCGGACAGAGAGCATGATATATATCTCGAGGGTTCGTTTGCGTCGGCGGTCGTGCCACTGAATTATGAGCAGTGCGATAGGCTAATTTTGGTCACACCGTCAGCGAGAGTTCTAGGTCCTGTGACAAAGGGCGCAAACCTGTGATGTGGTTGTCCAGGAGATCCGGCAGCTCGTCCAAAAGCAGGCTTTCCAAGTCCACCTTTCGTAGGCGCTGCTCGAGCGCTCTCGTGCAATGTGCGATGATCTGCAGGATCTCGGCGACAAAGGTCTCGTCTGAGGTGATCTTGGAGTACCAGGCCTGGACAAAGTCCCTCAGAATGACAGCCAGCAAGGCATATAGCTGCAAGTCGACATCGTTTCGGCTCGTCAAGGGCGGGAGGAGGTCCTCGAGAGGCAGTGGCGTGCCGTTGCCAGCTTGGTGCTGGGGGCAGAGGACACGGCGAACGAAGGCGGCGGTGGCATCGTCGGAGAGGAAGTCGGTGGACAGAGGCCGCTTGGACCGTCGAGTCACGGGGACGACTGGCGGCGGAGGTCGAGGAACGGCTGGCGGAGGGGCACCGGGCCTGGATGTGAAGGCTGAGGCGGCGGCTGCTGGTGCGGTGGCCGCGTGGGATGAGGTACTAGTTGTTGCAGCCGCCTTGGGACGCGGGGTCGATGCGCGCACGGGAGCTGCCGCTGTCATGGCTGGTCACCTTGATCTGGAGCGGTGCGACGGCGGCGTGTCATGGTTTGCCGTGCAGATCCAGATGCAGTAAGTAGGTCCAGGTCCAGGTCCAGGTCCAGCTTTGGGACGAGGGCCGGGCCGTCGTGAGATGTCGTCAAGATTGGGTGTATGCAGGGAGAAAGATTGGCCCCGGGGAGAGTGGGTTCAGTCGGTGGGCAGCCGTTGACAAGCATAGAGTGCTGAAGATCTGGAGACGGGGGAACGGCGGTTGACCGCATGCACCCAAAATGAGCAGTACCCAGGGCAAGGTACCTACCTACCCAGGCTTGCTCGGTAACTGAACAAGTATTACATCGCCTCGGTGCCGCGGGGCTGGCTGCATTAGCTGTAGGTACCTACCGAAGCTACCTAGGTACTTCAGGTAGCGGGACTCCCCTGAACCGTGCACTGCAGCCCACTAAAAGCATCCCCCAGCTCGTGCATAAGTTCTTCCCTGCACCTGCACCTTCAGGGGCCGCATCCCCCTATTCTTACTCCTCTCGCTGGCCTTGCCGGATGGATACCCCGACTTGTGTAGCCTTGCTGCCAGACATGCACAACGTCAAGTCAAGAACAAGGCTGAGGACAACAGGCAAGCTCAGACTTGTCTCAGGTAGTCATGACCAATAATGCGATATGCAGGAGTCGGGTACATAAACAATCGGTCTACAGCGGCGTGAGGCTCACACAGGTGTTCTAAGCATCCTGTGTGCCGACAAATGATACACGTCTATACATTATTATACAGAGCTCGCAGCATCAACTCGCGTGGCCACCATCTCATCTCCTCACTGGCCCTTGCCCTACTCCTTCATGGTTGTCTCGTAGCTATCATCTGTCAGCAATCTACATCGTCTCACGTGGAGGGAAGAATTGTAGCAACATACCGTTTACCGCGGAACGCCCAGACGCCCCAGTTGCCACAGCTGATATCTTGCGGGTCGAGGTCGTTGATATCCCACCTCAGACTCCTGAAGAGGTTCTCGCCCGGCTCCAGGAGGATATCAAACTCGCCGGCTGCTGTCTTGCGGACCCACTCAATGTCCCTCTCCATGTCGAATTGTGTGTAGCCCGTCGCGATGATGGGCACCTTGGTCTCCAGCAGCTGCGGGAGTGTCTCCGTCCACTCGTGGCTACTCGCCGGGTGGCCCAGACCCGGGTGGAACAGGACGAAGCAGTCGAAGTAAGGATCATACGGCGCAAAGTACTGCGCCGTGTGCAGCGTGTGGTAGTAGTCAACAATGGTGCTAATCTTCATCTTGGACGACACCCGGTCCTCGACCACCATGCCGAAGGGGTTGGACGCCGTGCGCTCAGGCAACGGGAATTCGTCGTCGCGGTTCGCCATGCTCTCGGGTCCGATGAAGATGAGGTGGATCTTGCTGTCGGGGAAGAGGTGCGCCAGCTGCACCCAGACGTTCCTCGGCAGCGAGGACTCGGCGCGGGCACCCAGGCAGAAGACACGCACGGGGGGCGCCTCGGGTCGGAGGTTCTTGATATCAATACCCTTGCCGTTCTTGGGAGGATGAAGGGTGTAACGGAGTGCTAGTGGCGATTGTCAGTCTGCAGTCAATCGCATGCTTGTGGAGGCCAGGAAGAACATACCGCTCAAACTTCGGATACCCTCGCCTGTCAACCGGCCTCCCTTGCCCAGGCTGTACGGACTGAGCTCATGGAGAATGCTGCCGATTGTGACGGGATACGTCAGCATCTTGGGGACCTGACGCATACTGCGCTCGTCGTTGATCGCATTCGAACTCTCGCGTGTACATGAAAGGTTCCCCAATTGCTCATGTTGACCACAGCCTCGGGCAGCTGGTTCTTCGGTCATCTCAAACTCAGGAAACGCACGACCAGAGTGGAGGTCATGAACCGTCCTCGTTAATCTTCGCGAAGTTGTGCGCAAATCTCGAGGGTGACTCGTATTCCG